GGAACTCAAACAACTCAATTGCAAAAAAAACAATGACAAATAATCCAATTTTAAAATGGGCAAAGTATCTGAACAGACATTTCTTAAGAGATATGAATATATGAAAACATGTTCAACATCTCTAATCATCAGGGAAATGCTAACAGTGTTAAGAACACTGTTAAAACTTTAAACAAATTAAATTCAGCAGAGTTTATCTGAGCAAAATGCAATTCATGAATTGGGCAGCACTCAGAACCAGGAGATGTTCAGAGAGCTCCACACAGCAACGTGGCCAGGCAGTATTTAAAGGCAGAAAAAGTAAGGAACATACAGAAACAGCTTGACTGGTTATAGCTGGGCATACGCTTTATATAGACAAGGCCTGATAAGCTAGCAGCCTGATTGGCTGAAGCTTGGTGGCTGTGATTGATTGAGATTCAGTGACTTGCTACGAAAATATATTCTTAAGTTACGTTGCAGTTTGTTAGCAACCTTAAGCTAGCTTGTAGTTCACTATGTACCAAGGCAGCATTAGGCCAAATTTAAATTAATTTAACACCACAATGAGATATCACCTTACACCTGTCACAATGGCTATTATCAAAAGGATGAATGATAACAAGTGTTGGTGAGGATGTAGAGAAAAGGGAAGCCCTGTCTACTGTTAGAGGGAATGTAAATTAGCATAGCCATTACGGAAGACAGTATAGAAGCTCCTCAAAAACTAAAAACAGAATTACCATATGATCCAACAATCCCAATTCTGGGTATATACTCAAAAGAACTGAAATCGATATCTTAGAGAGAGATCTGCACTCCCACGTTCATTTCAGCATTATTCACAATTGCAACGATATGGAAGCAACCTAAGTGTCTATCAACAGATAAATGGATAAAGAAAATGTGGTGCATATACACACAATGGAACACTACACAGCCTTAAGAAAGAAGGAAATTCTGCCGTTAGTGACAACATGAATGGAACTGAAGGATGTCATGCTCAGTGAAATAAGCCAGGGATAGGAAGACAAATTCTGTGGAACCTAAAATAAGTCAGTCTTACAGAAACAGAGAGTACAAAGGTGGTTGCCAGAGAAGAGGGGATGGAAGGAGGAAGGGGAGATGTTGGCAAGGCGCACCAAGTGTCAGTCAGACTGGAGAAATAAGCTATGTGATCTACTGCACTGCACTGCATGGTGACCAAAACAGTTAGTAATAATGTATCGTACATTTCAAATACGCTAAAAGAATAGATTTTTAACATTCTCACCACCATAAAAAAAAGGGTAAGTTGGTGAGGTGATAAATATGTTGATCAGCTGAACTGAATTATTCTACGATGTATACATAGATCAAAACATCACATTGTACCCTATACATAATTATCTGTTTTATATAAAGGGCATAACTATGTCAATAAGTAATTAGAAACATGTACATTTATATTTTAATCTCAGTTCAGTTCAAAAGTATGTAAGAAACTAACATGGGTCATAAATATGTTGTGGGTGATAAAAAGGTTAATTAGATATGACCAAGGCAATCCTTTAATTTACTTTGAATTAACTTTTTTTAAGGTAATTTTTTTTTAAAAAATTAAGGGATTTCCTCTTCATATGTGCATATCTTTATATATGTGAACATGTTTTATGTAAAACATCATCAATCATGCTTGGTAATAATGTTATTTTAAATATTACCATGAAAAAGCATAACCTTATTT